GTATACATACATATACATAAGTAAATTTAAACCAAATATTTAATTATACGGCCATACCTTATTGGTAGCAATTATATAATTATTAATATAGTTAATTGGGAAATTAGTTGAGTGATTGATTACACTCTATATTAAAAAACGTGTCACATTAATAATGGAATGAATGTTGGTACCAAAACTAGGTAATGGGGCCAAACCTTAGAGACCCCTATATATACCCCCTCACACACAACTTATCTTGTACTTTGCATCTCTCTTTCTCTTAACACATCTTCCAAAAAATCTAACGAAACAATTTCCTAGATTTACCTTTACCTCCTTCCATACATCTGTAAGTGTAGTAGTACGAATTGTTCTTTCAATCTTTGAATTATGAAAATTTATGTCATTAATATGATGATACAAAAATCCAAGTTATAATTATGATATGAGTCTATACGTGTAAGTTCAAAGGGCCGGAGTTTAGTAACGCTACACACGGGAAATATAGCCGCGAAGTGCGAATTTTAATTCCCATGTCTCTATATTTATATTATGATTTTCCGTATATAAATATGAAATGCAATTCATTATCACTCATTTACTGAAATTTATATCTTACATGTATATGTTAAATATTTTATAGGTAATTAAAAAGGCGGGTTCGAGGAGATCGAAGGTGGTGAAAAAAGGAGAATAAATTATGTAGTTAAGGATTTTGATAATGTTAATTGTATTTTTCTTGAAACAAATTTTAAATCCTCGCATGTTAAGAAAATATTATGTTTTTTTCTATAAAAGTATTCTTTTGTGGTACATGTATAATAATTCCAAAGATACAAAATTGGGTCATTTCGGAATATACTAGAATGTCAACAATTACAACTCAAACAATTAAATAATATTATTTTGTTGACATATTAACATGGTCATGACGATTACTACAAAAAAATGAGTCTCTAAAAGAATTGAAATAAGAGAGAACACCAGAAACCTCAAGTGCACTAAGTCATGGAGAGAATTGAGGATACATTTTGCTGAATAATTTAAAAATCAAAACTTACAAGTCTTATCACTGTACCGCAAACCAAGTGTTTTATGTGAAGAACTCATCACTAAAATATGATAATCAATCAATTAAGAAAAGACCATCCCAAATACTATTTAAAAAGAAGGAAAGCAAATGAGCATGCAACGACATTCGGAAAGAACAATATTAGTACAAGGAACATACAAAATAAATTTTAAAATGCGAGTAGAAAATGAGGATGATGTAGAAATGTGCAAAAGGGGGAAGAGAATAGCTCAGCAAGAAGTGCAACAGCACCTTCTAAAATTATTAGTTTCGAATGGTAATTATGCGCCATCACAATATGGGATTCAATCTCAGTTTTGGTGAAACACTAAAATAATGAAAGCAATTGCACACCTCAGGCGAACCAGGAGCAATTCCAATCAGAACCAACCACTTCTCAGAAGGATCACATCTATAATTGATAATTTGGTTGTTTGCTAAATTAGCTGTTCTATCAAACATCTTTACAGGCTCCGAATCACCTATATAGAGATGCATTGAAAAGCTTAAAAAACAAGCATAATAAAGAAGAGAGGAGGGGAGGGAGAGAACTAATAAATTATAACAAAGGCAATATAAAGATATCTCACCTTCAATTGACCAGTGATACACAGATGATTGTGTTACCAAACCCAGCATCTTTGGGGTAATCCACTTCCAAAAGACTACCTGTTAAGAAGTATGTTCCAGATATGCAAACATCAAGAAACTGCTTTATAGAGGGAAAATATGTCATTTAATACTTAGGGAAAGAAATAATGCATTCTAACATACCTGCTCAGGCATCTGATGTGACTTCATTTTTGCTTTTGCCTCTATATTAAATATTTGCAAGTGATCTTGAGTAGTTCCAGGAAGTTGCGCTATGACAAATTAACTAAAAGTCTCAGTAAAAAAATTAGATCATATATGTGTGTGTTTGTGTGTATCTATATATAGATATGGGTTTACAAGTAAAATAATATTATTGAAGAATGTGTAAATGAAAACGAGTTTTGAAAAAATGAGTTTTTGGAAAAATGGAGCCCAAACAGGGGCTGTTTGCGGTACGATGACTTACCACACTGCCCCTGTTTGGGCTCCATTTTTCCAAAACTCATTCTCAACTGCACATTCCTCCATAAAATTATTTTACATATAAACCCGTAACATTCCAATTTTTTAACCCCACATTCTCCCAAAAAAAAAAAAAAAAAAAACATCAAAAAATATATTTTTCAAAAATGGGGCTCAGGCAGGAGCTAATTTAGCAACTTCACAAGTTACATTTTAAATAACTATCACCTAAAAATGTTTCAGCCATGATTTGAAAAAGATCACTAATATTCTCTAACTCGCATACTAATTTGACACCATTCAAAGGAGAGAGTTGTCCACTGATTAACGGTGTGCAGCATGCTTAATAACCATAAACATAGTAAGGAGCCATCATCCTCTCCTTTCTAATGAGCAGTGACATCTGTCACTACTTGCCTGCCTTATTAGTATGAGCACCATACATGATAAACATCTACAAGTTCCAACTTCCACCTAAATCTCCCAACCAATATCTATAAACGTCCACGCAATTTATATCCATATATTTATTATTTGAATATCAAAAAATACTTTTTGCATAATTCGAGTCCAAGACACGATTACCATTTTTATAAAAATGCTTAGCAGCATTCAAGTACCTTTTAGAGCCAAAATTCTAGTATTTGGATTCATAAGAGCAGAATCTGCAGTAATGGGACGCCTCAACGGCTGCATTGGCATATTCATATCAATGATCACCACACTGTTCTGAGGTGCCGTCTCACGAACACATATATACTTATCGGATTCCATTGTAACATTCGTAAAAGTGATGAACTGAGCATTGATCCCTATGCTAGGCAACTGCAACACCATATTAAACAGTCAGAATCCAACTCAACTAACAAAAGCTCAAATTCCCAAAAAAGTTTCACAGATTTGAAATTAATTTGCACAATAAAGATCCAAACAGTAAACCTAAGTTACTCATGCAACTAAATGACTGTCAGTTTACCATACCAAACAACTACCGATTCAAATTTAATAATATAAGCCCCCGTTTGGCCCCATTAAATCTCGTCAGATTAACTTAAATTTTTCGCTCTTCTATTTTCAACTACACAATCTTTAATAAAATAATATTAGACATAAAACACTATTCCCCGTTATAATCAAAATTAATGGGCCCAAACGGAGACTAAATAAAAAAGCAACCAGACGGTTGAAAATGAATGGAATTCGAGAAATTCAGTAATAAACAATCCAGAAATCGCGAGAGATGACAAGCCGATATTGTCAGGTACCGTGAGGACTTCTTTCATGGAAATCGGAGCGTTGGCGGCCGCCATGGCAGACGGCGGGTCGATGCTTCAAATGAAACCTCCGGATCTTATAATTCAAGAGTCAGCGACGAAGAGAAACCTTTGAAAACCTCCGACAACGACAGAGTAGCAACGAAGAAGAAAGAGAGAGATCTAGAGAGAGAAGGAGATGGTCTTCTAGAGAGAGAATGGTGTTTGTATCTGTATATATACACGACAAAGAAAAATGGAAATTACGAGCAAGAGATCTGTAACATTGGAGGGAGGAGAGAGAAGAAAATAGTGCGATTTGGAGTGCGGTGTTTGTGGTGCTGGAGTTCAATCGTCTGCGGTTATCCATCCTTCAATTATGCTAAGTAACTTGGAGATTAAGACAAGTTCGGCTTGAAAATTAATTTTTTGATCGTTAAAGTGAAAAGCGGATTTTACCGGTGAGCGAAAAAGTCAAAAAATGGGTTGAGCACGTCAAGCCTCCATTTTCTTTCATTTTTTTTCTTTTTTATTTTCAATCACACAATTTTTCACAAACTAATATTACACGTAAATCGAAAACTTTTTATTATTTTCCAATCACATATTCTTTAAAAAAATACTATTTCGAATATTAAAATTTGAAAAAAAAAATGAGTGCCAAACAGAGGCTAAGTAAGAGTAAAAAAAATTAATTTTTTTGGATGAAAAATCAGAACTAAACAGGGGCTAAATATTTTCTACAAAATTAACCATTGATATTGGCTTAAAATGTAGCCATTGATAAAAACTGAAGGAAAAAAATTGTTTATATGTTGACAAGATGATGTAAACAATCACAAAAATTTTACATTGAAGATGTGTCGCAAAAAGAAATGTAAGGATATTTTGCACAATAACATTAGAAAATAAAGGCATCTTGCGCTAATTACCCCTTCACTCAAATTGCAATTAAGGTAAGATTTATAATTAATCCCAAATCAAAGGGTAAAGTATAGCTTTAGATTTGTTCGGTGGGGGAAGGTCGGTTTTAATTTTTTAAATTTCATTTTTTGAAGAGCCCACAAAAATCGTGAGGGATGGAACTTTTGCTAGAAAAAAGTGTGAAAAAAAGAAAAGAAAAGAAACCAAGAGTGACGCCTAAAACGGTGGCGCCTCCCCTTTTGATGGGTCTATGCGTCTAGCCACCATTACTTGCGGTGGGATTTGGTGCTACAGCCTACAGCCACCCATTTCCTTGGCGAGATTCCACTTGTCAAATTTATAAATAATAATAAGAAAATGTAATATATATATTTTTTAGTTTTCTAACAAGCTTCTATTTAATATACATTGTTATCAACAAATATAAACTATGGAAAATTGCAACAACGGTTCCTAACCTTTCACTTTTTTGCCGACTTTATCCTGACCTTCATTTTATATCACCTACAGTCACAAATCTTTCAAAAATATACATATGAGGTCCAAATTGACCGTTAATGTTGACCAATAAAATTGAACTTTGACCAATTTAAAAGAGTAAAAGGGTAACTTTGCTGTTAAAACTTTAAAACAATTAAAATAAATAACCAAAACATTATAAAATAAAAGGGAAAAAAAATATTCATCTCCTTCCCCACCCCACTCAACCCAACCCAACCCAACCCAAAATTCTTCATTCCATTTCTTCAAATTCAGGTTCCGCAGTCATTCCTAAACCTAATTCTTGGCAACCTCCGACTTCTGGCATTCAATCCAACTTGCAGTCCCAATGCCCCTTGGGCTGAAAACCCAAACCCTGGCTGGGGTACAATGCAAACAAATCCTAACACAGACTGGGGGACTCAAAGACCAAGTATGAACTTGAATTGGGTGCCTGTTCAAGTGCAGCCTACCGGAAATGCAACTTCTGATTGAGCAGTTCCTGCTGGAAATTCTGAAGCTACAGTTCAAGGGCCCGCGTCTGAAAATTTACATCCTGGTTGGGTTGCAACTCCAAGTTGGGGTGATCCAAATGGCAATACAGGAACAACAACTCAACTTCAAGGGCCAGTACCTGGTTAGAGTTGCTGGTGAACAGTGGTTCTTCTGGTTTCTTGAATTTTTTTTTGGAGAGAAGATGACTGAATTCAATGGAGAGATTGAAAGCAAACGGGTGAAGAATAATGGGTTTAGATTGATAAAAGAGCCCTTGATGTTCCTTGCTGTTTTCCCCATGAAAGTTGCTCGAATTTCACTATTTTCTGCTGCTGTAAATGCTTCTAATTACTGGGATTTCTATGAATCTATCTGAATAATTTCTTGGTTAATGAATGAACAAGGGATTCAATCAAGAAGCAGACAAAGGGATTAAATCAAGAAATGGAATGAAGAATTTGGGTCGGGTCGGGTCGGGTTGGGATGAAGAGGAAATGGTGGCTAATAGCCACCCACCCACTTTTCCACATAGGCCTTTGACCAAAATTTTTGTAATAAAAAAGAAAAAAGAAAAAGTAATCTAAACAAAATTGTTATGGTTGAAAATACTCCCCTCATTTGCAAATCAAGAGGAGAAATAGAGAGAAAAAAGAGGAGGGAAAAAAAAAGTAGTTCGGATCCGCCACCTACCGACGACCTGGACCTGACCCACTTCGACCTCTTTGGACACACCTCGATCAACTGGAGAATGTCATTTTCTGGAAGGTTAGACATGTTCTTTATAAATAATTTTTTTGAAAATGTGAAAGTTTGAATGTTTAGGACTTTAATATGAGTTAAATTCAATTTTTTATGGTTAGAATGGAAGAAAAGATCGAATTTGACGTTGAAATGTTAGAAAAACTGAAAAAATGAGACGGAGTTCGTCGGAAATTGAGTTTTTCGGAGAGCTCCAGCCCGTTACGGACCATCTCGGTCCGTAACGAACCATCAGGTTCGGGTCCGGACTCGACAATGGTTTTTTTTCATGAATTTATTTTAATTTTTATGTTAAAAAAATGTAATTAAATATGAAATAAATATTATGTTAAGATAATGAACGAAATATTTAAAGATAGATTAAATAGAATTTTAATTTTTTGTTTTGACTTAAATATATGTTTTGTAATTAAATATACGAAATAAATAATAAATATATGTTTAGTAATTAAATAAGTTTAGTAATTAAATATATGAAACAAATAAGATATATCTTAAGAAAATTAAAATAATTAATTATGGAAAGAATTTATATAATTAATTAAAGAAATACTTAAATGAAAATATTAATATATTTTAATTCAAATAAATAATCGAAATAGAGTAATTAAACATGAAATCAATAATATACATAATTAACGAAATATTTAAAAAATAAATTAAATTGAATAATAATTTTCTTACTTAATCAATTAAGATAATTAATTAAAGAAATGGTTAAATGACAAATCGAATTAAATATTATTATTTTTATTGAAATAAATAATCGAAATAGAATCATTAAATATGAAATGAATAATATACATAATTAACGAAATATTTAAAAAATAAATTAAATTGAATAATAATTTTCTTACTTAATCAATTAAGATAATTAATTAAAGAAATGGTTAAATGACAAATCGAATTAAATATTATTATTTTTATTGAAATAAATAATCGAAATAGAATCATTAAATATGAAATGAATAATATACATAATTAACGAAATATTTAAATAATAAATTAAATAGAATAATAATTTTCTTACTTATCGAATTAAGATAATTAATTAAAAAAATAGTGAAATGAAAAATCGAATTAAATATTATTATTTTTATTCAAATAAATAATCGAAATAGAATAATTAAATATGAAATGAATAATATACGTAATTAACGAAATATTTAAAGAATAAATTAAATTGAGTAATAATTTTCTTACTTAACCAATTAAGATAATTAATTAAAGAAATGGTTAAATGAAAAATCAAATTAAATATTATTATTTTTATTCAAATAAATAATCAAAATAGAATCATTAAATATGAAATGAATAATATATACATTCTGATAATTAACGAAATATAATTTTTAATGAAATATTAAATAATCAAATATGTGAGAATTTTTTTTGTTTAACTATTTTAATACGTGATTGGATGAATCTATTTATTACTTTATTAATATGAAATCTGATTGGTTAATTTTGAAGATACGATGTTTTATTTATAATCTCTTGTATATGGTTTTAACATGTATTATTTTTGTAGGATGGAATATCATATGGACAATGATTTGAGAGCTCATTTGGGAAAAGTTACGACGTATTGTATCTTTTCCAGTTATACGACAGTGATTGAGGGGTTGGATGAGGAGCACATCGACATACTCCATCGGTCGTTTTTATGGTCCTATTCGTTGAAGGACATGCAGTTCTCTGGACAGATTATTGATTCGTTATTACTCCGGCTGCTTAAACCAGTCGATGGCGATCGACTTTTTTTTGCTATGGGGGACGGGAAGGTATCGAGATTCTCGATCCTTGAATTTGCCATCATTACAGGCTTGAGTTGTATTGGAGAAGAAGCGAGAGCCCGTATTATACCAAATAAAAGATTATTGTATTTATATTTTGGAGGTAAAGGGCCGGTTACACCACCACAGTTTGATGATACATTTAGGAGATGCGATCACATGTTAGATAAGCTGAAGCTAGGATTGGTGTATATACAGGAGAGTATATTGAGCTGTCGACATCGTAGGACGTCGATTGACATTTTTTCATTGGATGTTATTGATAATATCGATGCTTTCAACAGCTTTCCATGGGTTGAGATGTTACACCGATACTCTCCACGTATTCAGGAGGATACATACTATGCCAAAATCGGAGAGGGGCGACCGCAAATATGATGTATATGGCTTTTGCATGGCTTTGCAGGTAAATATTCAGCTTAACGTAATGCGTGTTAAAATTTTTTATTAAATTTATAAATAATTTTTTTTTTTTTGGTAATTGTTGCAGTTGTGGGCATATGAAGCTATCCCTGCTTTGGGTAGCAAATGGGCGATCAGAAGGGAGACTAGCTACCTACGAATGCTTCATTGGCGAGCACATGAGAAGCCATCGGCTAAAGATTTGACAGCTATCCTCGACGATCCTCAGGTGAGTATTATATATTTGCAATTTATATTGTACGTACATTAACTCGGCTTGATACATGCTCGTTAACATGTTGAAATATGATATGTCAGCTCGAGGTTCATGCCGAGTTGGTTGTTTCAATGGAAGAGGAGGATCAAATATATGTACGTGAATTACATGTTCGATCTATTGAAAATGATCCAGTGTTTGAGTCCGTTCCGGATAGAAATAGGGTACGTTTATTTAAGATCATTATTTATTCTGATTTATAATATTCATATGTGAATTATTAATATTAATTGTCTTCTCTGTGTAGGAGCATCATCCAGTAGAACGACGAGCACTTCCACGTAGGAGATCTCCTTCACCTCCACCGATGAGATCTCCGTCGCCTCCACCGGTGAGATCACCTCTACCGCCATTATCACATTCTCCGAGGAGATCTCCGTCTCCCGCACCCGCCCACCTTCCACGTGGATCACCTGCACCCAGTCAGACCCATCATTCAGATAATTTCTTTGCACGCATGACTGGTATTATTAGAGAGGAGTTGGGAACGATGCGACATGATTTAACGACAGAGGTAGTAGCACTGCGAGATGAGATTGGAGTGCTGCGACGAGATTTAGGAAAGCTTTATACTGAGGTTGCAACACTTTGGGGCGATGTAGCAGGCTTTCAAGGTTTCGTCAGAGGGAGTGTCGGGGAGACTGGTGTTCCTCGAGATTGGTGGGCAACGGCCGCAGGATTCGATGAGTTTTTTTATTTGGTGCCGGAGCCCAGAGGGAGGGGGTGGAGGTCGGGTCGGAGGTGCCGGAGGAGGCCGGGATGGCCGGGGTGGAGGTGTCAGAGGAGGTCGGGATGGCCGGACAGGAGGTGCCAGAGGAGGTCGGGATGATAAAGGGGGTGGAGGGAGGGACAAGGGTGCTAAAGGGAGAGACAGGAGTGCCGGAGGGGGTGACCGAGGCGGTAGCAGAGGGGACACCAGAGGTGGTAGTAGAGGGGGATAAGGGGGTTGCGGAGGACGAGAGGACACCAGAGATGACGGATAACGATGTAGTATTCGTGTCGGAGGAGGCGACGGAGGTGCCGATGGGTAAGAAGCATGCTAATGATGCGCTAGAGCTGATGGTCGGTAAGAGATCAAGATTGCTGTCACAGTACATTGTTTCCCCCATACACGGCCGAGAGGAAGAGAAGGGGGTTTGTGGATGGGACATTTCCCAATCTTTTTCGTGACGTCGACCCGGTCAGACAGAAGGCATTCGATGATTGGTTCAAATCCCTTAAGTCCGAGTAAGTATTTTTATTATTTTGCTACTATTTTTTTGTATTTTTCGTAACTTTTTTTTTGTTTCAGCATATTGACTTGGCTATGGAATTGTTACGCGATCGGGCTCAGAGATACCCGAGATCTTATGATAGTCCTAGTCGAGTTATCCTGAGCTCTGAGTTTGTTCGTATCGTAGATATTGAGCATCACGAGCTCCTAAGCAAGGGGAATGAATATGTTCTGTCCGAGTACATGCTAGAGTGGGTGATTGGGCTACAGCCAAAGTGCGAAAAGCCGTGGATGGATTGTACACATATGTACATTCCAGTGATCACAAACTCATACTGTTTTTCAGTGGAAATCGTATTTGCTAATTCCACTATGTATGTGTACGACTCTGATCACAGCTGTTTGACACAAAATCTACTGGAGCCAATGGTTGTGATCGAGCCCATGATGGCTAATCAGGCGATGATTCGAGTAAATGACAGATTAGCTATTGTGCGGAACATGACGACGACAAAACAAGAAAGATCGTAAGGACTTAAAACTTTTTAATTTTAACATTTAATTTTCAATTATATGTTATCGAACTAATATATTCTTCTTCGATTGTAGGGGCGATTGTGGCTTATTTGCAATAAAGTACATAGAGTTTTTGAGCATTGGTCGCAATGTTGATACAATAAATTAGTCTTGGATTGATATGTGGAGACATAAATTAGCTTGCGACTTGTATGAATAAAACTGTGATCCTTAGTGCATTGTATATTATTTTATTGAAATGTAAATGTTGTTTACTTCAGTATGATTCGTGTTGTAATGTAATAATTTTTTTAAATATTTAATTAACAAAATATTATTATTTTAATTTATATTGTTGTTATGTCTGTAATCTCTCCATATTGTCAGTTAATATATATCGTTGTCTCACTTGTATTAAAAGAAAAAAAACAAAATATTATTATTTTTATTTACATAAGTAATCGAAATATAGCAATGAAATATTAAATAAACAATATACACACTAAGATAATTAACGAAATATAATTTTTAAAGGAATATAAATAATCAAATATACGTGCCAAATGAAGGTAATTAATGAAAAAAATACTTAAACGAAAACTTGAAGTAAGTGCTATTATTTTTATTCAAATAAATAATCGAAATAAGTAATTAAATATGAAATAATTAATTTTTTACTTAACCAATTAATATAATTAATTAAAGAAAAACTTAACCAATTATACATTTATTATACTTAACCTATTTTTTTATTCAAATATACTGTTAGAAAGAGTAATTAAACAATGTGATTAAAAATACATCCGATTTAAATTGAGAAAATTAAAAACATATTACAAATAGAGAATACATATGATTTATATAGATACTACACATCCGTCGAGTCATTGTTTAGTGGGATCTGACTTGTACAAAATCGACGTGTATGCCCTGTAGCGCCGCACCTCCCGCACTTACGCATTTGTGGAAACTCTCCTGTAGATAGTATTCTAGGCGTCCGTCTACGACTAGAAGTACGCGGTCGAACTTCAGATGGCAAAAAATTATTAAGTGCTACAATATAATTAGGAACTTCCCACTCGACTTCATTTGGTAGAGGAAATATAGTTTCGGAAATATAATTAGGAACTTCCCACTTCCAGAGTTTTGAATAGTCGATCTTCCTGTGTCGGAGCTAGCACACTAGTGCAATTTTGGGATTCCTCACGTCGGTCATAAAATCACTGTTGCAACTTGCTACGAATATGTTGAATCGTTGCGAAAATTGGTAACTCTCGATCCTTCTTGAATAATGCCCGCATTATTCGACGTCCTGAAAAATGTGACCTTGCCCAATGTTCGACCCCCATATTTGATAGATATTCCCATGCACTTTCTAATTTATGTTTTATTTCTCCCATGAACTTCGTAAACTCTTCAAAGCTGTAAGCTTTTGCAGCTCTCCTAAACAATGCAACGATGTCACTGCCCCGGTACCTAGTCTTCAGGTTGCCCTGAATGTGGTACATGCAATAACCATGATGTGCTTCCGGAAAAACTTTGGCTATACCATTTATTATTGACTGCCCCCAGTTAGTCACAAATGCAAAGTGCTCGATGTCCCCAATTGCGTCTCTCAGCTTCGTGAAGAACCAACGCATTGCTAGATCAGTCTCTCCATCGACAATGCCAAATGCAAGAGGGTAAATTTGGATGTTGGCATCTTGACATGTAGCAATAATCAACTTCCCTTCATATCTAGCATTCAAGGCTGTACCATCAACTAGAATTAGAGGTCGCATCGCATTTCGAAAATCTCTAATGCATTGTCCAAGAGCCATAAAAAAATACTTGAAACGATTCTGCCCATCGGTTTCAATAAAAAACGCCGAGTCAGAATTAGTTCTTACCATGTTGTGGCAATACCTAACCAATTTGGGCATAACCCTCCTCTATCGAACCTATTAAATCTTCCAATGCACATTTTTTTACCTTCTAGGCCTTCTGGTAACTCATAACTACCCCATACTCCCGATGGATGTCGTTGATGATATCTGTAGGTCTGTAAATCGTCTGTGAGTCATGAAATTTGTGCATTATTTGTCGACCAATAAACCATGATTGAGCTTACCTGTGATCATTTTGATGAATACCCACTTCACAAGTATGTTCCCGCACATACTTGCGAACTACAAAGAACTCATTTGTATCCATTTTTGTCGCTTTCAAACGCCAACTGCAATTGTTGTCCACACAAATAATTGTGTATGTAGACTTGTTTGATTTTTTTTACCTTAAACTTAAAATTATGTTTCATTGCAATTCGGTGCACAGCTTCTTGCAAATCTCTATTCGTGTCAAATAATTGATTGACATGTAAATCTTCATCATCAGGAACTACAAAACAATTAGAAGACCGTGTACTCGGCCCAGCATGTGAACTCCCACCAGACTTATGTCTCTGTCTGGATAAAGGAATGGCCTTTCATTCTCGTTGTCTTGAACTTTTTCGTAAATCTTTTGTGTAACGGTGACATCATGACGAGTAGCAACTGTCCCAGGAATAACCATATCATCATCATGAGCAATCTCAACAGTATCCCAAAAATCATTCTCGTTACGATCCTCTCCATAAAAAATTTCGTGTTCACCATCGGGGACATTTTTCTTCAACAAAGTTACGCAAATAGGAGTTGTCTTTCGACCTTGGTTCAATTGAATTAAATGCTTTATTTGCACTTCAGAAGTAACATTCAAAGGTGGAATCGAAATTATTGAATGCTTTTGAAATAAAAATCCCAATTCCATATCATACTGAGAGGAATCGAAGTTAAGCATGTTTTGTATTTCATTGTACATTTTCGTAAATGATGTATTTTTTGTTATCGAAATAGCAGCAACCCCTTCTCCTTCATTCGTCCATTTTCATTCCCATTGACCATTTTCTTTCCTTTGAAATTCGCCGTAATAACAGATTGGGACACATACTTTTGCTATAGCTGCATTACGAATTAAATAATTATTAGCGACATCATAGTAATCATAAAAAATATACTCAAGTTCGTTGTTCTGGAAGTGTTCCATAGTTTTTTACACTATAGAACACAATTAGTAACAAAAAAAGAATCAGTAAGAAAATTTAATTTGATTATTTATTTGAATAATTTGAATTAATATTTAATTCGATTTTTCATTTCACTATTTCTTTAATTAATTATTTTAATTGATTAAGTAAGAAAATTATCATCCAATTTAATTTATTCTTTAAATATTTCGTTAATTACGTATATTATTCATTTCATAATTATTCTATTTCGATTATTTATTTGAATAAAAATAATAATATTTAATTCGATTTTTCATTTCACTATTTCTTTAATTAATAATCTTAATTCGATAAGTAAAAAAAAATATTATTCAATTGAATTTATTCTTTAAATATTTCGTTCATTACGTATATTATTCATTTCATATTTAATTATTCTATTTCGATTATTTATTTGAATAAAAACAATAATATTTAATTCGATTTTTCATTTCACTATTTCTTTAATTAATTATCTTAATTCGATAAGTAAGAAAATTATTATTCAATTTAATTTATTATTTAAATATTTCGTTAATCATGCATATTATTTATTTCATATTTAATGATTCTATTTTGATTATTTATTTGAATAAAAATAATAATATTTAATTCAATTTGTCATTTAACCATTTCTTTAATTAATTATCTTAATTGGTTAAGTAAGAAAATTATTATTGAATTTAATTTATTTTTTAAATATTTCGTTAATTATGCATATTATTCATTTCATATTTAATTATTCTATTTCGATTATTTATTTGAATAAAAATAATAATATTTTATTCGATTTTTCATTTTACTATTTCTTTAATAAATTATCTTAATTGGTTAAGTAAGAAAATTATTATTCAATTTCATTTATTCTTTAAATATTTCGTTAATTATGTATATTATTTATTTCATGTTTAATTACTCTATTTCGATTATTTATTTGAATTAAAATATATTAATATTTTATTCGATTTTTCATTTTACTATTTCTTTAATAAATTATCTTAATTGGTTAAATAAGAAAATTATTATTCAATTTCATTTATTCTTTAAATATTTCGTTAATTAAGTATATTATTTATTTCATGTTTAATTACTCTATTTCGATTATTTATTAGAATTAAAATATATTAATATTTTCATTTAAGTATCCCTTTAATTAATTATATTAATTGTTTCCATAATTAATTCACTAAACATATATTTATTATTAAACATATATTTATTATTTATTTCGTATATTTAATTACTAAACATATATTTAAGTAAAAAAAAAATTTTAATTTCTATTTAGTCTATCTTTAAATATTTCGTTCATTATCTTAACATATATTATTTATTTCATATTTAATTATATTTTTTAACATAAAAATTAAAATTGATTCAGAAAATAAAATAAAAAAGAAGAAAAATTCGGGTCCGGATCTGGACCACATGGTCCGCAACGGACCATTTAATGGTTCGTATGGTCCGTAACGGACCATAATTAATTCTGGCTATCGGTGCCGACCTTCAATTCGGTTCTAATATTATTTTCTCTACCATTTAAAAAAATATACGACTTCAATAGAAACAAAATTAAATACTAGGAAAAGATACTTACCAAATTAGTGCTGAAATTTAAAGAAATATTTTTGTTGAGGTTGATAACTGATAAGTTTATGAAATTTTGAGGTTGAAGTGGATGAAAAATCAAAGAGTTTTTATCGTGTTAGGGTAAACTGATGAAAAGAGTGACTTCGTTTTCAAATCTCAATTGAGAGGTGTTTGGATTTTAATTTGTAATTTAAGGATATTTTGATCTTTTTAACAGATTTCTATTTTTATAATTGTATAATTCATTTAAGGGTATTTTTGTCTTTTACACTAAAATAGGCCTTTGTGGTGAATGTCAAATTTTTTTGGTTAAAGTGGAAAATTGGTTGTTTGACATGGCTAATATTAAAAGTACCCCTGGGATGAAGGAGATGAATAGTTTTTTTCCCTTTTATTTTTATTTTGTTTTCATTATTTATTTTAATTGCTTTATAGGGTTAAATAGCAAAGGTTACCTTTTACTCTTTTAAATTGGTCAAAATTGGTTAAAATTCATTTTTATTGGTCAATCAACAATCAAATCAATGATTTCCATCAATTTGGACCCCAGGTGCATATTTTTGAAAGGTTTGGGACTATTGGTAGCATTAATTGAAGGTTAGGATAAAGTCAGCAAAAAAGTGAAAGACCTTACCGCTGCTGCAATTTTCCCTATAAACTAATCCTATTTAAACTATTATTTAATGTAGAGGTATATTAGGAAAATAAGAAAAATTTATATTTTCAATTTATATTAATTACATTTTCTTAATATTTGTAAAAATATATAAGTCTTATCTTTATGGGATGGAGGGAATACAATCTAAGTAGTCATCCTGCTAGAAATTTGATTGAGAAACCATACCTTGTCAGTGGCAATACACACTTCCTGCTGCCTATAATAGTGAAATAACGTTCAAAAAATCAATTTTTTGAGTTGAAAAATCTCTCCCAAACAACTCCTGAAAGAAAATTCTAGAATGATACGTAAATTTTAAAGAGGCAGTACATTGATCATAACGATAAGGAACAAAACATGCAAATAAACAGTACTTGATAACAATATCAAAAGACGATCGTCAAAAATATCATATCTACTATATTAACATGGGGCTTTATATTTAAATACTGTCCTGGCACCATGGTTTTAGCATATCCAGCACTCTTCGCCTTTTCCCATTTTTCATTATTTGAAGGGAAAGGTGGACATCTTTAGCACCAAGTTGTAATATGTAGTGGCCAGGTGCACAACAACCATGCATTCGTTCTCTCACCCAAAACAAAAACCAAAGAATGAGGCAATCAAGTTAATAATTGGATAAAAGCAACCAGCAGTCGAGATAACACATTTATGCAAGCAAAAAGTGTGCCCAAAGGGACAGGAAAGCAATGGAAAAAGGTTAATGACCACAAAACAAAGTCGACGATCAAGGCTCACACACACCTTGCGTTAGATTGAATATCTAGCCTTCTATGTAGTGTCTTAATTTTCAGCCAATTTTTTAGAAATTTATCAGAAAGTTATGATTTGTTTAAAAGTCAATACATCATAATATGTCAATGTGTTTTTACCTAGTTTCATGATGTCATTATTTGCATCTAACTATTACCTAATATATTGAATATATCACTTCTCACTCTATTAAAAGAGTGAGTTTCCTCTGGCACTGTTCATAGGGTTGCATGCCATCTCTCTCTTTTTTTTTTTTTAACTACTATAATCTCATTATTATTGGAATTATCTAGGCTCTTCTACCATTCTTTCAATCACCGTTTGTCTCGTTTTATCACACACCGCGCCATGCTTCCTTCATTTCCCCACACAAACCCATCATTTCTTCTTTTCTCTTTTCTATTTCGTTTTCTTCTTGCATATGTTGTTGTTCAGCTTTCCTTTTCCCCTTTCCCTCGTGAAATTGACGATCTATAACCAATAATCTGGTTGCTGCCGTGTTGGACTCATGCCTTTTTCTCCGTTATGTAGAGCTTTTTCTCAATCGATGAGGCAACTATTTGAATCAATTCCAAGAATAAATTTTTTATTTTTCAAATTTTGATACTAATTATCCATTAATTATTTTCCTCACTCAGTGAGCTTTTTTTAGCGTAAATTTGTTAACATTTTAACTTTTTGATTAAAAGTAACTCGGGTAAATTTTTTGTGATCTTTCTCAGGTCAAAACAGGTTTAACAATGAAGAAAATTGTTCCTTGTGTAGTGATTTTTGCGTTTTTTGCATTTAGTGTGATTTTCTTCTATTTTAATGCGATTATGTGTGTATGCTATTTAGATTTCCATTTTTTTTTATATGTAAAATGGTTTATAATTTGAACTCTTTGTAACGATTTTTATGATCTTCCACAGATTACAAATGCCAAATTCTGAATCAGGCACTATCCTTTTTCTGAATAATAACAATAATTTACATTCACTCTCAGTGGCGAATCTAGCATCAATGTTCAGCTAAGGCGAATGTTGACTTTGACCGTTGAATGTCGACAATCAAAGATCATAAAAGCCTGGTCCGATCGGCGGCCGATCGTTTATTAAAATTAGATTAAATAATATTAAAAATTATTCAATATATATGTAAATGCACTAAAATCTAGAAATTATATATATAGTTCAATATATTTATGTAAATGCACTAAAATCAGATACAAGATCATCCACATTGAATTGAGCCCGAGACTTCTTTGTGTTATTTAACAACTCGAGTGCTTAGCTAGAAGCAGCGACCGGACTAGAAGCACAACTAAAACTAGGAGAACTACGCATAGACTTTCGTTTCGATTGAAAAAACCGTTCCATAATATGCAAAATGTCCCAATTTCATTTTCAATTAGAATTGATTAAAAAATTAACAATTCAACCATTTATTAACCATCATAAAGACTTTCCAACTTTCCACCATTTATTAAAAGCCCCAACTTTCCTTATCGAACTTCTCCCACTACAGAATTACTTATTTACTTTCCAGTTTCCACCATTTATTAAAAGTCATAAACATTTCATACCAACTTAAATCACAATAAAAAAAATTCATAAAAACTTAAATTAAAACTCAAAAGGACGGGACTATTTACAGATAAAACCTAAAAATACCGCAAATCTCTAAATTGCCCAACTTAAATCACAATAAAACCAATTCATAAAAACTTAAATCAAAACTCAAAAGAACGGGACTATTTACAGATAAAACCTAAAAATACCGCAAATCTCAAAATTGCCCAACTGAAAACGTCACAATAAAACCAATTTCAACAAAATCCCCAAACAGTAAGTAAGTTGTAAGCAAGCAATTCAAAAATTAAAACCCTAAAAATTAATACCAAATTAGGCAGAGAGAGAGAGCATAACAAATTACTCAAAAAAAAAAAAACCAATAATTAAACATAAACAATAAACATGCCCCAGTTTAATGTCATACTCGAAAATTGAAATTGAAATGATAAATTGATAGTGATTCACACATACAAATTCACAATCGTACCAGTTGGGAGTTGCGGTTGCGGGCTTCCACCTTGCGGCAATGGGGACTTCTTGCTTCAGCACACCATTCACGCTCGTCGCTCACCAGGAAGGAATTGGATTCTGAAATCGCTTGAGAAGTGCGAAGTTGGGAGCGATGTGAGAAGTCTGGAGAGTGGAATGGAACTAGACCTCTGCCCGAATCTGTGGTAATAATCTGGTTTTTTTTTTAACTATTTGGGCTTCTGAATTTGGGCCAGCCTAATTAAAAAAAAAAAGTGCCCAAAACATAATTTAGGATCACAGGCACAACCGGAGCCAGCAGGGGCAAAGTGCGAACTGGCATCAATCTGCAACTCCATCACAGATTCATAGACTCGACGGTGGTTCCGGCGAATCCAGCTAGGGCGGCACACCACCTGCATCCGCCACTGTTCACTCCTAATGATGGCTCATGCTTCTTATGTGATTTGAAGGGAAAAATCTTGTTTTTGTTTTTCATTTAGCATGAAACTCGTGTAGGTTACGTCTTGGTTGTTAGGGTAGTCTCATGTGGAAATTCACTTTTCTTTGCTCAACTACATGGCAAAATTCTAAAACAATGAAATATATATATATATATATATATATATTTATTTATTTATTTATAAAAGCAATAGCATGTTCACTTGTAAACATATAGAAGTTGTACGTTCCTTTTTACAATTATAATGATGAAATTGGAGGAAAGAAAAATACATGAAAATAACAAATGTAATGGTTCGCACTAAATTAGTACATATGTTATCCTACGAGGAGCATAGTAACATATATTTTACCATAAAAAGTGATAAAAATAAGTAACATACATGTTACTCTAATTGGTGATGTATTGGTGAAGATATTGTTTATATTAGAAGAGAAATATAATGAATTTGTCTTGTGTTTATGGGCAATTATCCCAAATCCACCTTTTGGAAGCTCACTGCCTCTCCAAGTTCACTCTTCATAGCTCAGTTTCTTGTAGTGCCTCAAAATGGCGGAATCCGTATTACTAATATTAAGTTCACTCCTCGTATAATAGTTTCTAGAGAAGCATTGGATTTAAAAGGAATTTAATGTGGATGTCGAGCTAGGCAATGACAAGTAATGATTGACTTTAGGGGGTAATGGTGCAGCTTAGATATACCATAGCTACTGGGGTTGACAAAGTTAGAGAAAGGTGAACCATGACTAACATTTATCGGCAGAGTTGAAATTTTATAAAAAATTTTTTTTTTTTTTTTGACATAATTGGAGGATACAGTTTGATTTATGATGCATTGAGTTCGGTAGTTGACTTTGCTATGTATTTTCATGGTCATACCTTCAAAAATGTTAACAAACATGTATAGATTTGTTAGTGAGCTTGGATTGGGGTGCATATAAATCTCCCTTAAAATTAGTGCAGGGCATTTTCAATGGTGTTTCCTTTGTGTTCCACTGTTCAATTGTGAACCTGAAAAGGGTTGGACTAACATGTGAAGAAATTGCTTGGGTTCCTAGGCATTTGCTGTAAAAGAATTGACCTTTAGCTTTTATTATTGCTTTGAAACCAGTGATTTCATCATTTCTTGAAGCATAAAATTCATGATAGTTTGAAGAAAGGGTTCGACAGAAAGGGCAAAATTTTCAAATTCCAAAATCCCTACCTTCAAAGTCAACTTTAGAGAGTAATGCACCTCTTAGACACATAGACAAATACACATATACTGTCCCTGTCTGTTTCTCTCATTTCAGTATCGGAATTAGCATAGAACTCCCTGAAACTCCTTTCTGCACGATTATTCTTTTACTTCCTTTTTTTTTTGGTTCATCAGAGTTGTTAATTGGGCAAAACTGGTACCTTTATTAACCGGTGGAAAGTTGAAGTCTAATCAAATCAAAAGTGAAAAGTGGATGAATAGATTAAATGGGATACTTGTAGATCAAATGGGGCTAGGAAAAATAATTCAAACAATTGCTTTTCTTAATGGACCTTATATGATCATCTCTCCTCTTTGTACTCTTTCAAAATCGATGAATGAGATTGCAAGGTAGTTCTTGTTTATTGCGGTGCATGATATGAAAGTGAAGTACTGAAAAAAGATCTACTTCTCTGATAGTTCAAGTTATACCCTTTTGCACCATTTATGTTCTTCAATCTGTCATTTTTTATATTTTTATTTATTATTATTATTTTTTTTTTTGGCTTAGGTTTGTACCCTTACTTTATGCAATCATCTACCATGGTGATAAGAAGGCAAGGGATGAAATTAGAAGAAAGCACATGCCCAAAAAAATAGAGCCCACATTTCCTATTGTAATTACTTCTTATGAAGCTGCACTAAGGGATGCGAAGAGACACTTGAGGTATTTGAACTGAAAATATGTTGTGGTCGATGAGGTTTATTATAGTTTTGTGAATCTTT